CTGATCCATATTCTATGATTGGTAATACAAATGTAAAATAAAGGCGTCCATGGGTCAATAAAATCCTTGCTGTAGAACTTTAGCCAAGCCAATCTTGATTTTGCTTTAGCCGTGACATGCTCAATGTGTGATTTGAAATTCATTTGCACATCAAGCAACACTCCCAAGTCCCTTATTACAAAGACTCTTTCTATTTGAACGCCGCCTATGTTGTAATTGTATTCATATTGCAGTGATCCCCGATGATATGATATGATCTTTGTTTTGTTTACATTTAACTTCAATAAATTGCGTCCATAATAATCTGCTACACGATCCAAGTCATTCTGTAGATTAATGCAATCATCTGTTGAGGAGATACATTTTGAAATTTTTGTATCATCAGCGAATGAAAGTATACAAGAATCGCTAACGACGAATGGTAGATCAATAACAAACATGATGAACAAAGTAGCGCCAATTGGATATCCTTGACCCGTCCCAGATGTAACTTTGATTGGGTCAGATTTGGTATCTGCTATCTTTACAATTTGTCTGCGACCAGACAAGTAAGATTCGATCCATTTTAACAGCTGTTCATTCAGTCCCATGATTTCTAGTTTTTGAATAAGCAATTTTAAGTTGACCGAATCAAAAGCCTTGGCTATGTCCAAATAGATGGCGTCTGTTTGATGTCCTCTCCCCATGTTATTAATTGTTTTTGAAGTAAATTCAACTAAATTTGTTATCGTTGACCTGTTCTTTATGAATCCATGTTGACTTTCGTGGATTATGTTTTTCAAATATAGATTGAGATGGTTTGTGACGATCGAATCGAGAATTTTTGACAAAATACACTGTAAAGCAACACCTCGGTAATTTTGAACGTTGTTTCTATCGCCGTTTTTGTAGACTGGTCTGACAAATGACGTTCTCCATATCTGCGGGACCGAGGCAGTTTCAAGTGATTCTTTTAACAGTGTTGAGATTGGCCCCTGCAATGAAACCAAACAATGCTTGATAAATTTGTTTGGAATTTCATCAGGACCACAGACAAGATCATCTGGCAGCATGCTTATATGTTGACCTACAAGCTCCTCGGTTATTTCGATCATTGATATTTCAGCACAAATATCACGTATTTTTTCTATTTCCGAGCAGTCATATCGCAGATCACCTTCTAAAGAGCTGTAAGCGTTGCCAAAGTGTTTTGCAAAATAACTAGCAATTGTTAATTGATCGCTTGCTTTTTCATTTAAATAAGTCATCTCATGTGGTAGATCTTCACATTTCCCTTTTTTGAAATTTACGTGCTTGAAAAATTTCTTTGGGTCATCATCTATCTGTTTCTCCATCTCTATTCTGTAATCTCTGAAAGCTGAGCGTGCACAACGTTTATATTTCCTTCTTATTTCTTTGTAATGTTCAATTGATTCAACTGTGTTGAGCCTTTTTTTATTTTGATGCGCTTTGCTGACTTTGTTCTTCAACTCAACCAATGACTTGGTAAACCACATCGGTTGTTTCCTGTTGATTTTTGTCTTTAGCTGTACATGTGTTTCAATTGTTGACTTAATAATTGTATAAAAATTATCTAGTTTCAATTGTAATGAACTTGTATCAAAAACACTATGCCAATCTATATCAAGAAGCGACTCATTCATTCGCTTATAGTCTGCATTTATAAAGGCGCGATATGTTTGTCTTGTTTCAATGGTTTTGACGACCGGCTCATTATATCTGATTTCAATTGCATTGTGGTGCTTTTCAAAATTCAATAAATGATAGTCACTTATTGTGCATTGAAACAACTCAACATCATTTGTCCAGATCATATCAAGCATACGACCATTTTGGTTGTAATTCTTGTTAATCTGGTGAAGTCCCAGTTCATAGCAAGTATCCAGCACTATCTTCTCTTTTTCACTGGCCGCATTGATAGCAATTGCAATGTCTGGGTCCTCATTCTCGTCAACAAACCAAATCAATTTGGGCAGATTGAAGTCACCAGATACTATTAAAACATCTTTTTCACTCAACTTTGAAGCTAGTTCTTTCAAAGCATACATGTTGTTTTCATATACTTTGAGAGTTGGATCTGGTCATATGTACAATTCAACCAAAAAGATGTTCCTTCTCATGCTGGTAACCTTTACCCAAATTTGTTCTGCTCCGAAATGGTCACCCGTTCCGATGCAAACTGACTTTAGTTTGTTGTTGACAGCAATCAATACTCTCTCCTTTGGATGTAGTTGGTCTCTCTCTGTATTCGTTGAACGGTCACATCGATGAACACTGTACATTGGTGGAAAAATATCGTTTGTATTGATACCGTTGTCAAAATGTGTTTCGCAATGCATATAAATTGTTGACAGTTGAACAATTGATGATTGTTTGGCCATTACATCAGCAATAAATTCGGGAATTTTCGAACGTAGGCCATTCACATTTTGTGAATGGATGGTGAGCTGCATAGTCAATTTTTCTGGGAGACCACTCGCCTTAGTTGTCAAAGAAAAATTGGCAGCATCTTTTGAATCGATGTTTAATTGAAGTGCCTGGTCTGCCAACGATGTGCCGGCGGACGAACACCTCTCCGAAATCTTTGAAAATTTGCATATCGTCGCTCATAGTCATCAAAGCAACTACGGCAGTCACAATTTGCATAATGTGATTTATTGATTGGTCGATTTTCTGCAAAATTCTGCATGGAATTGTGGTTATTTCTCTGACGGTCGATGTTCTGGTGTCTTACTGTGACCCAGTTTCTCTGTTGGAACGATCGACTTGCCTCAAAATTTTCAGATGGTGCCATTGATTGATGTTGGTTTTGCTGAATGTTGTGACGTGTATGTGTTTTCGGCTGGTTTTGATGATGAAATAGTTGTTTTTGACGTGTGGCATCATTTGTGGGAGCGGTTGGTGGATGATTGTCGTGTTTATTTTGACTATTCGATGTGTTTGGGTCTGTTTGTGGCTGACGAGATGATGATGGAACCGGATTGACGTTGATATTAATTTTGTTTTGCTCTTTGTTTGCTTTCTTCTTCTTCTTATTTCGACGCGATCGTTGGTTTCTAAGTCTTTTCTTTTCTTTTTCACGTTCATCATTCGTTCTTACCTGAACACTTGCACCAATAGTTGTTGAATTATCGATCGTTGTGTTGACTGTGATTATGTCGTTTGATTCTTTTACAAAAAGAGACATTTCTATCTCATTTTTGAAAATATTGTTGATTGAGCCGATCACTTTGTCACCAACTTTTTTGATCATTTTTTCGACTTCATTTTTGTTAAATAAATGCTCAGTTGCATCATGATAATTGCCATCGTCAGTATTTGCATCATCTTTTTTCGTTTTGACTTTGAACAAATGCATGCATCTTGAACAACACACTGGTAACGGCGATATTCCATTGAAAATGTCATTGAACTCATCTTCTTTGTATACGTCGCTTGTAAATGTGAAATTGTTGCTATTTGGCATTATTGTACGTTTAATTAATCCAAATTGCATCAATAGTCTTTCCATTTGTTTATTTGTTTTGATTAAACACTCGATGTAAATGTTGCTTGCACAGAAAATGCATTTGAAATGCAAAGCATTATATTTGGCACCGGTACACTTGTTTTCGGTGCAGCAATGGTATGTTTTTTCTTGTTGTTGTTGTTTTTCCATTGTGTTGCTGTCACTGTGATTCTCAATGCAATGTTTCTTTTTTTTATTTTTCTATCAAATCGACTAAATATGACTGAACTTCACTTTTCAACTATAGCAAATAAGTTTGTTTTGCTATTGTACAAATAATTTTATTTTTTAAGGAGCTAAAAATATTTTTAAAAATGAAAATAGTCTAAATAAACGATGAGCGATAGAAAAAAAACAATGCGATGTTGACAACTCCATTTAATAATGATATATATATTTTGATTGGCCTAGTAGTAAAATTCGTATTCAATATTATGTAAGGTGCTCCATTTTCTATTATTAAATCATTTTCAATCGTTATTAATTCATGTTCATTAAATTTTTGTTTTGTGATAAATTGAAAGTCCATCAAAGTATTTAAAATTCCTATTTCATTATTAGAAGTACGAAAATTTATTGTCATATTGGATGAATGGTAAGGGCCAAATTCTCCATTCATCCCTAGAAGTTTTCCGAAGAGTGCTCTCTATTATTGTTGTTTTCGACATTGGTTTCGAAAATTGTAGCAAAGTTATTAGATCGTGGACGATTATTAAATTGTTCATTTTGGCCAGGTCTATCGTTCCGATAATTATTTCTATTTGGACTATTAAAGCTAGTCCTGTTATTATTGTTTCCATTATAATTCGTGTATTCGTTCCTATTACCGTTGTTATTATTGCCATTGCTGATATAGCGACCATTGCCATTATATCAGGCATTGCCATTATTATTGTAGCCATTGTTATTGTTGTTATAGCGATTATTGCCATTATAATTAAAATTATTTGGGCTACCTCTATCATAGAGTCTATTATTGTTATATCTGAAATTTTGACTTTCATAGTTTCTGTTATTCCGATTTTCGTAATTGAAAGGGTTTCTATAATTATTGTTACGTGAGAAATTTTGTCGGTTTGGGAAATTACTGAATCTATTATTTCCGAATCTATAGCCGGCATTAGGAGTTCTCATATTATTTCTAGAATTGTCTCTGAAATTATTTTGATTTGACATATTTAAAGATCGTAAAATTGAAGCTAAATCATTTATATTATTTGGTCCATTATTCATGCGTCTGCAGTCTCTTTCACGGTGACCATTTGAGCGACAATATCTACAATACAATTCAAACTGAGGAATTTCACGGAAACTTTCACTCTCTGCTTCTAAAGCGTAAGCTATGGAGTTTTCAAGAGTGTCTGAACCTCTAATTGATAGTTTTTCTTTCAATCTATTGTCATCTAGGCCTCTGGCAAAAGCTCGGAGGGCTGTTTTGTTATGTTCTCTTCTCTGGTCTTCTGATAAATTACTGTAAGTCGCATTGCGTTCTCTTAGGAGTTTTCTGGCTCTTTCTGAATATTTGAGAATAGATTCATTTTTCTCTTGATGTAGATTTTCTATTTGACTAGCCAATAAATCTTTGTTTGATAAATAGGAATAATGTTTCAATAATTTTTGTTTAATTGTAACCCAATCTGGGTTATTGAGATTGATTATAACGTTTTTGGGTTCTTCACCCAATTGGAATATCATCTGTTCAAAGAATTCGTCCTCTTCAATTTCATTACTACTGTAATGGTATAAAGTATCCGCTTTATTAATGAACTCTTTAAGTTCACTATACGAATCGCCATTAAATTTGGGAATATTTTTAAGGCGTTTCAAATAAGTTTCTCTTGCACCGCTTGCATCTCTATAGCTATGTTCCCGGACTGGGATTTCTCTAAAAGGAATTCGATTATTAGCTGATTGAGTGTTTCTATTGAAGGGTGTATTTTCATTGAAAATTGGAGTATTATTATAGGATCTTGACACCCGGCGGGGTATTTGAGTTTCAGTTTCATACGTTGGTGCAAGTCTTGGATTCTCTATGTGATTATTATAAGAATCATTTTGATATTCGTCAAAAAGTAGTAGTTGACAGCTGTCACGTCTGCATGTTTTTTTTTCTTCGCTCTCTATTTGGATACTTTAATTTTGCTAAATTTTAATCGAAATCACATTAAAAAAAACAGGAAAAATTATTGAAAGAATTATTATTGAATTGTGTACAAGAAAAACATCAAGTTTAAGTGATTTGAAGTAAATTAAAGAAAAGAAGAGGAAGAAA